CATAGATCTGGATAGCTTAAAAGAGAGTAATGGTTCTCAAGTGAAATAAGTGGATAAGGAGGAAGGAGAAAAAAAAAATTCAAGATTGTTTGGGAAACTTTAACAAACTACAAGTGCTTCAGTAAGGGGCACTAACATACCTGGATATGTGAGTTTGAAAAATCATCCTGGAGATTCTAATCTCCCCAAGAACCCATTACAGAAATAGTGACCAACAGGAAAATTGATATAATGCTAAAAAATTTTTATCCATGGTCCTTTCTTTGCATAAATAACTCATGGAAAATGGATATATGCCTTATGGTACATTTACAGTATAACTCTGAAATACATGTATGTTTACTCATAAATGCATAGTTTTAAATAACATTGTAGGAATGTACACATAAGTGTAGAAAGTAAAAAAGATATCAGTATAATACATATGAAAGTATTTTCCATCCCCCAAAGCATTTCCTTGCACAGCCTACATTTCATACCACTGTTCTCAACAACCATTCAGATGCTAAGCATTGCAAAATACATGCTGAGTCCACATCCACTGCCTTCTCCAGCAATCTCCTTTCAAAGACCACACTTAACTTCCACATAACATACGTTCACCATCCTTCATTTAAGTTTGGAATTTTATTTCAATTTTTTCCTAGCTTAGTGGATTGAGTATGAATACCAACATTTGGAGATACACAAATTTTTAAACTTCCTGTACCAGGTGGGAGGGGAAACTACTCAGTATATTGGTGAGGATGGCCTATCTATAGCTAATTGTTTTGACAAAATGGGAATACTTCAGAAATTAATATGCCATTAGCTCTACTTTTATTTCATGTTCATCATGCTTTTTAGAGTTTCAAATAAAGTTGAATTGAATTCAGTTCAAATTCAGAAAAGTGAAAAAATATAAATCAAGACTACCTCAGCCCAGCAGTGGCTCAAGCCTATAATCCCAGCACTTTGGGAGGCCAAGGCAGGTAGATCATTTGTGGTCAGGAGTTCAAGACCAGCCTGGCCAACATGGTGAAACCCTGCCTCCACTAAAAAATACAAAAATTAGCTGAGCAGCAATGGCACGCACGCACCTGTAATCCCAGCTACTTGGGAGGTTGAGGCAGGAGAATCGCTTGAACCTGGGAGGCAGAGGCTGTGGTGAGCAGAGATTGTGCCACTGCACTCCAGCCTGGGTGACTGTCTCAAAAAAAAAAAAAAAAAAAAGACTACTTCAGCCCAATAGTTCCACTTCTAGGAATCTAAAGGAAATAATCAAAGATTCACGTGCAGCTGGGCATAGTGGCTTACACCTGTAATCCCAGCACTTTGAGAGGCCAAGGCAGGAGGATCACTGAGCCCAAGAATTTGAGACCAGTCTGGGCAAAATAGGGAGATTCTGTCTCTAGGGAGATTGTATCTCTAAAAAAATTTTTTTAAAATTTAAAAATTAGCCAAGCACGGTGGTGTATGCCTGTAGTCCTAGCTACTTGGGTGGCTGAAGTGGAAGGATCATTTGACCCTGGGAGGTCAAGACTGCAGTGAGCTGTGATCACATTATAGCACTCCAGCCTGAGCAACTTCAAGACCCTGTCTCAAAAAAAAAAAAAAAAAAAAGATTCGCATGTAAGGATGTTTGTTTTGGAGTTACACAAGGAAAACATAAATAAATGTCAACGACAGAGAAGAATCTTTTTTGAAACTAAATAGTGGAATATTATGTGTAACTATTAAAAATTATGCCCTGGGCCAGGTGTAGTGGCTCATGCCTGTAATCCCAGCACTCTGGGAGGCTGAGGAGGGCGGATCATGAGGTCAGGAGATTGAGACCATCCTGGCTAACACAGTACAACAAAAAATTACTAAAAATACAAAAAATTAGCCAGGTGTAGTGGCATGTGCCTGTAATCCCAGCTACTCGGAAGGCTGAGGCAGAAGAATCGCATGAACCCGGGAGGCAGAGGTTGCAGTGAGCCAAGATGGCGCCACTGCACTCTAGCCTGGCCGACAGAGTGAGACTCCATCTCAAAAATGAATAAATAAAAATAAAAAATAAATAATAAAAAATATCAAAACTATGTCCTCAGCTGGGCGTGGTGGCTGATACCTGTAATCCCAGCAATTTGGGAGGCCAAGGAGGGCAGATTGCTTGAGCCCAGGAGTTCAAGATCAGCTTGGGCAACACAAAGACCCCGTTCTCTACAAAAAATACATAAATTAGCCTGGCATGGTGGCATGCCTGTGGTCCCAGCTACACCCAGCTACTTGGGAGGCTGAGGTGGGAGGATCACTTCAGTCCAGGAGCTTGAGGCTGCAGTGGGCTGTGCTTCAGGCCGAGTGCACTGCACTCCAGTTTGGGTGACAAAGCAAGACCTTGCCTTCAAAAAAGGAAGAAAAAAATTGTCCTCTAGAATGTTTAATAAAATGATATTGTGAACATGTAAATTTTGCTGCCAAATGAAACATCTATGTATAAAGTCTTAGTTTTGTTAATGTGTTTATATATGGGTGAATATATATATATATAATTGCAGCAAAATATTAACAGTGGCTATATGTAGGTGACATAAGAGTATTTTTCTTCCTCATACTTTTCTGTTTCTCCAATTTTCTGCAATACATATATTTATTTTAATATCAGAAAAAAAACTTAAAGAAAATCCTATAGCCATTCGTGGTGGCTCACGCCTGAAATCCCAGCACTTTGGGAGGCTCAGGCAGGTGGATCACCTGAGTCCAGGAGTTCGAGATCAGCCTGGCCAACATGATGAAATCCCATCTGTACTAAAAATACAAAAATTAGCCGGGCATGGTGGCACGTGCCTATAGTCCCTGCTACTCGGGAGGCTGAGGCAGGAAAATCACTTGGACTCAGGAGGTGGAGGTTGCAGTGAGCTGAGATCGCACCACTGCATTCCAGCCTGGGTGACAGAACAAGACTCTGTCTCAAAGAAAAGAAAAGAAAATCCTATATATTCAAATAGCCAGTACATTTTCTGTGCTTGCCATTTGTTAAGCCTGAAAAAAAGAGATATATCTTACTCATCTGAACACTAGTCTTTTTCTGAGCATAGAAGTCACAAGTTTAGATAAACCATACTGAGGACCTATGTGGAATAGACTCACCAGTTACTGCAGCCCATGACTGGGTTCATTCAAAATTCAAGCAAAACAAAAAGTCTGTGGTTACTAAATGGAACCACCAGGTGCCACTATTGCTTCACAGAAAGGAGTAAAATACTTAGCATGACTATTTTTTAGGAAGAATAAATACACGCTTTCACTCTGGGATAATACTAAAGTCTTCTTAGAAAACATAATAAATTACTATGTTCACTTCATTTCAATAATTTTATGCACATATCCCAAAGGTCAATTGGGAGAGATGTGAAATCGTGGTTCCTATCAATTCCTATATATGAACAAATGGGGTTGGAATTGAAAATAAAGAACACATTATAGGAAGAAATAAATTCAGGCCATAAAAGTTGACTTTATCTTCTGAAATGTCCTACTAATAGCAGAATTTTAATGCTACTGTGTACCACTGTTTCTGTGGAAAACGTATTCTTCATTCCAACTCTGAATGGCAGGGGATGCATGTCTTTCTACCCTGACTTCCACTTTCAACTGGTAGCTATTTAACTTCTCCATCTATAAAATAGTAATACAACCTCATAGAGTAGTTTTAATGATTGAATAGCTACATCTGTGTAGTGTGGGTAAAAAAATTTTTTTAATAAAAAATTTGATAAAAGACTGACTAGCATCATAAATAACATAAAGAAGCTTAGAAAATTTATTACTTCTCTGTAGGAATAAAAAGCTTCCAACTCCTTTGGCTGCTGAGCCCATGTCTAAATAAGACCAGGGAATCTCTCTATCCCAGTGGTAAAAAACGGTGCCAAGGTTGGTGTCTCAGGACATGGGTCTTTTGACTCATGTCTAATTCAGGCTCTGTCACCTATGAGGAGTAAACCATGACAAGTCACTGGGCCTTTAGGTTTCTCATCTTCGAAATAAGGGGGTTGGATCAAATGGCCCTTAAGCCCCCTCTTAAGTCCCCTCCAGCCAAGAATCCTATGGTTCTATAAAACTTGTACCACAGAGGTTGTCCTTCTATTTTTGCATAATATACTTTTCTGACTCAACATTTTGCAAGAATTACAATTGGAGGACAAAGGGTTGTAGTAACCATCGGTTACTACATCGGTTAAATGATTCAATCATTTAACATTTATCGAGCTCTTCAATGTACCAGACAAGGTGCTAGACTCTAAGGATATAAAAATGATGATACTATCTCTTCCTTCAAGGATTCTACAGTCAAATTGAGAAACAGACACAAATGCATAATTACAATGCAACAGGCTGGAGGTATGGATTGTGGCATATCTAAGGAGCTGTGGCAATACACGATGAGGTAGGTACCTCATCTTCAGTATGGTTGTTGTTCAGTCAGTTTCATGGAATTGAGAATAACTGTGAGTGACTTTTCTGATTTGCCTAGAGCTGTTTTCAAGATGAGAAACTTTCTGGGCAATCCTTTTGTGGCTATACAGACTTTTGCCTCCGAGAGACTTAGACAAGTATTTTCTCAGGTACACATTGCTAGGTTTATAACCTATATGAAAATAAGAAGTGAACTCCCTGTAGCACAGCAGAAAGAAGACAGATAATTATTTGAGCTAGACCAGAAGAGATTCTCCTGCATTTAGCATAGATATTCACACTCAATTTCAGTCCCATTATGTTTCTAAATTCCCTCTCCTCCTTGGTGTTCTTCACTGGCTGTTTCCTCTTCTCTGAAAAATGCTAGGCTAAGCTTTTCCAGATCTTTCTCAACTGGGTCAGCAACTCTAAACCCCTGCTGCATCTGTGCTCTTGCCAATATACCTTCATTGATCTAAGACTCTCAAACCAGGGCATTAAGGGGTTGGAGAAGAAATGAAAGAGCAAATGCCAACCTGTACCACCTAGCAATTTCAAAGGCTACCAAATCCCCATCTGCTTACCAGACTTTCAGTAGTAAGCTCCGGCAAATCCTGGATGGTGCAGCAAGGGTAATCCAGGACTGAGATGCTGTAAGATGCAGAGATAAGGACAGGCTTTAGGTAAATGGCAACAGCAGGAATTGGCTGTATCTGAAAAGGGCAGGAGTTATTTCTCTCCAGCAGCCCCTATCCAGTTCCCAAATTGCTTAGTGACCTCAGCTGAAACTGAGGGCTCTGGTGCCAGGCAACTCTAGCTCCAGTCTCCTTTCCTATCATGAGAGGAACCAATGAGTTCTTTGAGGCTGGCCCCCATCTGGTAGATGCAAAAGAGAGCAGAAAGAGAGCCTCTTTTCTTAGCACTCCTTGCTTCTTTAAAGGAATACGTAAACTTAAGTGCATTTGTGTTTCTGCATTTAACTGTATGTGTGAATATAACTGCTCCCACAGACATGGTCCAAACCCATCCCACTGGATAACAATCTGAGGATGTGAGGATGAAATGATCCTCCCGTGTCTCTCACCAGATCTTTCTGAAAGCTGGGAGCTCTGGGGAATGATTACAGAAGCCACTCCTAAAGGAAGCTTGAGACAGGGGCAGCTTCCTATAGAAAGGCTAATCTAGGAACTCAAGAATGATAATAGCTGACAGTGGGGGACTGCAAGTTACAGCTCTGTGATGAGCCCAGGGAAGCAGGCATGAGTTAGGAGGAGAAATAAGGCATTGCATTATGACAAGGACATAGTTACAAAATAAATGACAGCTCTCTCTTTCCTCTTCTCCCTTCTTCATTGACACAACACAGAATCTGGACTAGCTAATCTCTAATGCTCCTTCTGGTTCTGACATTCCATGAGGTTTTGAACACCAATCTATCTGAACTAGTGCAGTTGGAAATGAATAAAGGATGTTGGTAAAGCAGTGGCTATAAAGACGAGTTCACACTGCTATAATGAACCTGTCTCTACATTTCAAAAGTCAAAATTTCTATACAAGCAAAAGGCAACAATTTATTTGGCCAGAAATGTTTACCTTTGTCCAAGAAACTCAGACAAAGATAACCTGGGGGACCAGGGTAGGAGAGAAGAAGAGTCAGCTTGGGACAGGACTGTGTCAAACTACCTGTAATGTTGTTCATCATCTTGATTTACTCTATCAGATTTTCCCAGGGTTGCCAGTTCTGTACTGCTCCATTAGGATGAACATTCTTGGCTGGCTCATTCACCTATCCACCCACCTCCTACTGACGAAGCCCTATGGCAAAGTAGGTGCTGGCGACCAGGAAATGGGGGTGGGAAATCAAAGATGGATTTGTTCCTTTCTCTTAGTGAACTGAAATCTAGCCTAAGGGGGCATAAAATTAATTTACAAGTATCTAGAACATCTAGATTGTAAGATCCATGAGAAAATTCTGCAATAATGAGTTGTGATCTCCAAGTTCTCAGAGATCATTCAAAAGTAAAACTTACAGTTCATGCATAAGAGGATCATCTTGTTCAGGCCAACCTTAGCAAAAGGTGTAGTCTGTTGCTACCACTCTTCCAACTCCAAATTGAACCAAATGGGTATCTATTGAATTGTCTGTCCCCCCCATTCTAGGTCCATGGGTGCAGAAGGAACATTAAGTTTCTGTATACCACTCCCCTAGCCACAGTTGATTTAGGGGTGAACCTAGGGAATCTGGAATAGGGATTGGAGAGTCAATTCAGTCTCTGAGGTGGGGCATGTTCAGCTCATATAGACATATTTCACTATGCCGCCTGAGAAGCGAACAACGCAGTCTGATACATTTGTCAGTGAGAGAGGAAACTGGAGTGGAAATACAGAGGCCTGGTGTCTTACAGACAGAAGTGGAAGGCTTTCTGGGCTCCCCACACTACAGACCAACCCTGAGGTCCAGAGCTGCATTGCTGTCCTAGGTTCCTCAAGATGACACATGTCATTTCATTCTGACAAAGTCACTATTCTGCATGAGTCTAGTCCAGCTAGCTTTGGTTACTTTTAACCCAGAGCGTTGACTGATACACAGAGGTGCCTGCTTGCAGCTCTGACCCTGATACAGCCTGACCTGTACTTCATTTTCCCTGGTAACTCAAGTAGCACATCTGAAGTGCCCATTTTAAAGGGGTTAGTGCACAGGTCTCCATATCATTAGGAAAAACCCATCCTCCAATGCTTACCCTCAAGGGGCAGTGTTTAAAGCAATCTTGCATATGCTAATATTAACCAATGCTTACAACATTTCTATGATACAGTCAGAAAAGGTATTCTTAAAGATGAAAATACTGTGGTTCAGAGAAACAGTGTCTTGCTTGAGATTACATAACTAGCAAGTGGCAGATCCAGGTCACGAATCCAGGTCTCATGACTTCAGGTTCCATAGGGGGGGTGTGTGTGTGTTTTAAGCTACATATAAGTAGGCTCCCTCTCCATGGTGGAATTTCAGGCAGTACTGACAGACTAGTGTGGCAATATCTCTAGTCACCCCAACTATGAGATTAGACCTCTTACTTCTACTTTAGGAATTTTGCCTCTGGTAAACTCTACTGATTAACATATTTCCAGTTCTTGTGAAAGTAGAATATTAAGGAACAAGGATCTATTCTGTAATCCCTAAGTCCCTGCTTGGCTGGACGAATGGAAAGCAATTTGTATTCACAGGGAAGCCTGTGTTCTGATCCTGTCTCTGATGCTTACTTCAGGGGTCTCACCAGCTTGTTAATTTTGTTAATATCTCTGAATTTGTTTCCTAATTGGCAAAATGAGAATAAAATGTATAACAACTCTTAGCATTGCTGAGGAGATTAAATAATGAATGTGAAATACCTTATTTTTTTAAACTACAAATTGACGTACCCCAGTAAATTCTATTACGTACCTTCAGTTATAAATTTTGTATAATGCATTACAGTTTACGAAACAGCATAACTGTTCCAATTGCTCCAACTTATGATTTATACTAAAATAAGGCCTGGCCAGATAAGCAAGTTGTTTCACAAAAAACAACCCCTGGATCCACCTGACAGAGCTAAAAATTCATCACTGCCACTTCATTTAAGTCATGACATTTTTCAGTGTTTAAAACTATTAAAATACAAATACCTCCCTAAAGAAGGCAAACCATACACTCCATCAGCTAACACTTCAAGAAAATTAAATTTAACAGTGACAGCTCTAAGACAGGAGGGACTAGGGACACCAGGAAAACTGAAAGGCTCGGAGATGATGTAATTTTCTCAACCACCCCAAAATAGCCCCTTGAAATAAACCTGTCCAGAGTTCATACCTGTTTTTGGCAGTGATGTATGACAAGATATTTTGATTGAAGAACTTCAGGATCAAGGGGATGCAGTTGGCAAATACCAAATGTTGCGATACATATTCAAACTGAATTAAAAATCAAAGCAGAAAGGGCTGCTTATTTGGAGGAGAATGGAAAATATGTTTGAGAAAAAGAGAGGAAGTACAAATCTAATACCCATTCCTGAGAATATCTACTATCTACTATCCACTTGTGTTATCAGTCTTCCTGTCTGGGAAATGGGAAGAATCATCTTCACCCAGCCCATCCTACATGGAGGGGGATAATCTGCAGTATATGTCACAAGCACAAAATAAAGAAGCCAGAAAATAAAATCTCACTCCAAAACATAGAAAGAATTGCTGTGAGATTTGTTCCTAAGCCCAAAAGGAAGGGAAGGCTCCCTGAGGGAGTTGTTTTCCATGCCAAACCTCTGGCTCATAATGTTTCAACTGTGATTGATATAGCAGGGACAGCTGCAGCTTACTCCTGGCATCACTCAGTCAGGATGGTGACAGCACATAATAACCAAATGGACCACTGGGCTCCAGCTCCAGTATGTCTGATATACCATATTATCCTTAGTATTTAGAATATCAGTAAGTATACTGGCTGCTTGGAGTATGGGGTGAGGGGGAAAAGAATATTAGTAAATATTTTAATGAATGAATGAACAAGAGCCCTTCAGCCAACAGATACTGCATTGAGAAGTCTAAGGTGTCTTTGATAGGCTAAATACCAGAATGTGGAGACTCCATTCTGCTCTCCCAAATCCAGATGTGGTTTGTATACAGGACAACCTAGTGGGGCAAGTTGCCATAAGAGCAGTGTCATGGGGGTTATGTTACCCATGACACACTAAGGAGCGTCAAACACAGTTTATCTCCAGATCCAGAACCTAGTATTCTAGTATAGAAATGGGGTTGAGAAAGCAGAGAACTGTGATGTTTTAAATCCTCAGCTCTCTGATCGCCAACAAGTAGCCAAGCAGCAAGCTAAGCTGCCTTACGGCCCTGGGTATGTAGTTAGAGCAGTGGAGTCAGCTTATGCCAAGACCACTTCCCTCTTCTGTTCAATATTTTCTCCCTGGAAAGTTATTTATTTTATTCGTAAAATCCAGGGTATTTTCCAAAGCCCCAGACAAAAGAGCCAACACATATCCAGTATCATCTGATGGAAAACTTTTTTCAGTTTGAGATGTCCCTGTGGCCCTGTCAGGATTCACTGACACACACTGGCAAGGCCCATCAAGCCATCCACCTGTCTGGCTGTGAATCCACACGCTTCCCACCAAGAAAAGCAGAAGTAAACACACATCCACAGTTCTCTGTTCTCTTTCCACTAGAAACACTATCTCCTACCTACCCCTACTCCTCCCAGCCCTGCTGCTGCTCAGCAAACACTGGCAAAAGTGGGAGCACTCAGGGCAACCAAACACACCCAATGATGTCTTCGAATGCATGAAAGTGGAAATACTCTGGTTGATAAGGCCACGGACATAGACCCTGCAGAAGCCTCTCTGTACTCTGAGGACCTGCTTTTCTACCAGCAAGCTTGATTCTGACTTCATAGGAGGAAAATGGGGTAGAGCCTCTGGGCAAGAATGAGAAGCATTCCTCTTTTCTCCATGGTCTCCTCACAGACAGCATCCATTTGCTGTCCCCATCTTGTCCCTATATCTTGGCAATGCCCATGAAACCAAGTCCAATCTCCTTAGCATAGCAAACAATGTTTTATGGGAAAGCAGCTTCTTAACTTTTCTTAGCTTTGATTTCGTCATCTATAAAAGAGGTATTAAATAAGACTACTTCATAGGGTGGAGAGAATTAAATGAGGACCTAGACAAGCTTAACAGGGTGCTAGGCACAGGACAGGTGCTCAGTAACTGTGTGCTAGCATATAGATTATGATATGCTCCCTGCCGATTCCTCCAGCTTCATGTGTCACCAGACCACGCCCATCTTTCCCCACCCCAGGCAGAACTCCAGCAACATTTAATAACGGTTTTTAAAGGTACTTTGCTCTGTCTCTTTCCCCTCTGGAGTTTTGCATATCAGCTTTTTTGCTTGTAATGCCTCCTGTCCTCCTTCCCTAACAATTCCCATATCCTGGCTAACATCTGTTTTTTTAGGACTGAGGTTAGAAGTCATTTCTTCTCCATCTCAAGGTGGATTAGGTGTTTCCATAGCAACCAGTGCTTATCGGTATCAGCACACTTATCTCTCTATAATTGGCTACTTATGTATCTGTATCCTTTATAAGATTTCAAGGCCTTGAAGAGCCAGAACTGTGCCTTATTCTCAGAATTATATCTCAAATGTTGGAAAAGTGCTTCACATATAGAAAACTATGGTCAATATACCTTCCCCCCCATTTTTGTGAAATGCTTACATTCTCTCTTGCATTGTTTTAAAAACTGGCTGGGCATATTTCTGAGAAGCTAGAGATTCCTACCCACAACCCTGGGATAACTTACAAGGGACACAGACATCTGCACCTTTCTAGGACAGTTCCCACTCCATAACCCTATCCCAAACTCATGCAGTGGGTGTCTGGATTCCCTGAGGGAGAACAAAGAAAAGGCTGGAAGATGCTCATCAGAACTAAAAGGGCCCTCGCACCCTTCCTTTGAGAGATCGGGCCTGGGAAACACCCAAGACCTGTGGAGAAGTGCTCCTAGCTGCTCACCTGGTAAATATGGTTGAGTTTGAAGTGTTTGAGGAGTAGCAGAAGCAGGGTAGAGATACTCTTTACAATAATCTCCTTGTGCCTGTTCACATCGATGCCCAGCTTCATGCTCTGGAGAACAGTGATGCTACAATGGCGAGAGAAGGTATTAGCGCAGAAAGTGGCCTTAAAGGGAGCCCTGCAGGGATCCAGGTATTTGGGTGTGATATAATATACACAAGAGAGCCAGAACTTGGGAAATGTGAACTTCTGTGCCAGGGAAACCTCCAGAGTTCCCACTTATGAGCCTGTCTGAAGAAATGCTCCATTGAGTTCTTTGTTTCTATTTCTCTTTTGGCAAGCTCATCCCTTGGCAATGTTCACCCAAATACCTGGGCAGCCAGTCGCTGACACTGGTGTCACCCTCCAGATCCTGAGTTTTGAGCTAAAAAGAGCAAAGCAGAAAGCCCTGAAGGGGGAAGGGAGTACTGGTGGGCAGAGAGGAGGAGATCTCTTTGGAGACAATCTCTGTAAGTGTTAACAAGGTGAGTGGGGACTAGAGAGAGCCTGCAGACAAGACAGCTAGTATCCAGCAGCTGCCCCCGTTGAAGCACTCACGGCATCTCCTCAGGTAGGACATCTGCCAGGATATTGATAGAGTCTGTCTTAGCCTTGGAGGTGGGAGCTGCAGCCAGCAGAATCTTAAGCAGAGCGATCTGGGAAGTAGAAATAAAGAAATTCACCACTGTCAAATCCACTCAGCAAGGGAGTGATTCTTCTGCACCCTAACTGCCCTATAAAAAGTGTTTTAAAGCCATTCTCCAAGTTCTTCCCTCAATGACCATATCTCCCCAGCGTCCAGAAGAGCAAACAGGTGCCCAGTCCTGAGAGGCCTGCCTGTGAGGCTAAGGAGAAAGCCAGAGGGAGCGCATTGGCTGTTCTGCTTCAAGACTGTTCTTTCCAGGGCCTGGCATGGTGGCTGATGCCTGTAATCCCAGCACTTTTGGAGGCCAAGACAGGCAGATCACTTGAGGTCGAAAGTTCAAGATCAGCCTGGTCAACATGGTAAAACCCTGTCTCTACTAAAAATACAAAAATTAGCTGGTGTGGTGGCGCATACCTGTAATCCCAGCTATTCGGGAGGCTAAGGCAGGAGAATCACTTGAACCTGGGAGGTGGAGGTTGCAGTGGGCCGAGATCGCACCACTGCACTCCAGTCTGGGCGACAGAGTGAGACTCCACTTAAAAAAAAAAAGACTGTTCTTTTCAAAGGGGAGGAAGGAAGGAACAGAGTGAGAGGGACAGTGTGTAGAAATAAAGTGGGAGGCATAAGCCCAACTTCTCCCACTCTTTTCTTTCCTCTAACCCGAACCATTGGTATCTTCCCCACTCCCAGCCTGAGGCTATCTAGTACATGACAGACCACAGCAGATCTCAGAGGGACTACAGTACTTATCTCGGAGGAGGGTGGGTCCCCAGTGTATCCTGTAGAGACCCCAACTTATTCCCCACCCTTCCCAAAGAAGGACTAGGGAGAACAGCACCATCAGAGGAGCACTGAGGAAAGCTCAGAATTTTCACGTGTCAGAGAATGCCTTGCCAAAGGCACAAAGGCTCAGAAAACAAGTTCAAGTGTTGGACAGGTCCGCTTGAAATGGTTTTTAGCTGTCTGTTCCTTGTAGCAGAGAAGGGCAGCTCTGGCCTAACCATCTCCTTACCATATACTGAGGGAGGCTGTACAGCATTCCCTGGTAGAGGATTTCACATGGCGTCTCTGGTACCACCTCTTCCCCCTATGGCAAGAAATACATGGTTTGCCAATGCCACTTTCCAGGTGACCAAAGGCTTTATTTTCTTGGTTGTGAGGGGTGACCTGAAAAGAGCACTAAGCTGGGAGTCAGATCTAGGTTTCTACCCTAGCTGTGTTAATGACTCACTGTATGACCTTGGATAAGTCACATTCCTTCTCTGAGTCCTAGTTTTCTCTTCAATAGGACCATCAGGTTGGCCTGGATGACCTCTCAGGACCTGGGAAACTGGAACAGATGCTACAGAAGCACTTCCTATAGTGTTGATCTGAGGCTGAGAACTCTAGAACATTCTGTAAGCCTAGAAGGAGAGGTAGGTGGCTCAATAGTGAGGGTTTAAAAGGAAGTTGGGTAACATATGGCCTGGTGAAACAGGAAGGAATATCAGCAAAGAAGCTTTTAAGTGGATGGAAATGATTTTCTTCCCCTCTCCATTCACCCCTACATCACTTTCTCCTTTCTGACCAGCCCCCTCATATACAACTATCTCTGTCCTATTGATGACATTAACTAAGCCTTTTATCAGAGTGAGGAGGCTGGGGCCTCAGGGACCCAATAGGCTGCTCAGGCCACTGTCATCTTTGACCAATGCAGTTTCCTTCCTCCTACAGGGTCTCTCTATTACAGGGCAAGGGTTCACTGCCATGAGACCCTGAGCCAGGGAAGAATAACCAGCCTCCTTCTGTCCCACACAACTCATCTGCTGCTTAAATGGATGTAAGTCCTAAATGGACATTCAGCGGAGCCTGGCAATCCTGGCATGTTTGCCTTCCTGCTCTCCAAAAGGCCGATTTCAAACCATCTTCCCTCTCCTCAAACCAACTCCTTTGCCCACCATGCCTAAACAGTTGCTGATCCTGCCTCACGCTTCATGGAGAAAACAGAAGCACTCAGACAGGCACACACTCATCTTCTCAACACCACATCTACAAAGAGTCTTATTCCTTCCTTCTTAACATGAAGGATGAACCGCCTGTGCTCGAACAAAGGCCAGTCTCCTACTTGTGCTCAGGATCCCACACCCATTTGCTTTGTTGAATGCCTCAGTCCTGCAATTATCCCCTCTTGGATCATTTATTTTAGGACAAAAAAAATGTTCTAGTATCTCTCAGCTATAAAACATCCTCCCCTTGACCTCACATTCTCCTTCAGCTACCATCCACTTTCTCTCCTCTTCACAAAACTTTTATATCATCTACCTCCTTTTTTGACATTTCCTTCAATACATACCAATTAGGCTTTCAGTCCCACTACTTCACTTAGAGTTGCTCTTATCAAGGTCATTATCTTCATGTTGCCAAATCCAATGGGCACCTTGGTTCTTACCATAATGCCACTTATTAGTAGCATTTTACCCAGCAGATCACTCCTTTTTTCTTGAAAGACTTTCTTAGCTTTTATGATATCATAATCTCCTGGATTTCCAGCCACTTCACTGTCTTTCGTACTCTTCTGGCTCCTTTCCTGACACATGCCCACCTCAACATACTGGTGTGCCCCAGGACTTTGTCCTGCCTTCCATTCTCTTCTGTCTCTACTCCCTCCCTGGGTTATCTCAGTCAGTTCTATGGCCTTTAACACTGCCTATAAGTGTTACAAACAACTTCCAAATTTATTTCTCAAAGTCAGCCCTCTCCCTAGAATTTTAGACTTGTATTTCCAATTGCCTGCAGCTCCACATGGGTATCTAATGGGCATCTAAAACTTAGTATGACCAAAACAGAACTCTTGATATTCCCCCCACATCCTGGCAAATGGTACTTATTCTTGATTTCTTTCTTTGCCTCTCTAACCACATCTAAATGCACTGCAAGTCTTGTCAGCTACATCTCCAAATCCAGGTCGGCATCATCGCTCACCTTGACTATTTCAAGGGTTTCCTAACTAATCTCCCTGGAGTGGGTCTACACTTTTCTGGTCCAATCTTTACACAGAAGCTAATGTTTTTAGAAACATAAATCAGATCATATCACTCCCCTGCTTAAAATCTCCAAAGGCTTCCTTCCCTTTGACTGTGAGTCTACTTCAAGCTCTCTACTTTTGCTTACAGGCCCTTGGCAAAGTGGCCTTAGGCCACCTCTCTGACTCTATCTGTAGGATCCTGGCCCTCGGCCCTGTGTTCTAGCCACAACAGCCTTCTTTCACTACCTCTGACACTCTAAACCTGCTTTCCCCTTGCTAAGGCTGTTCTCTCTGTTTGGAATGCTCTTTCCTCTGATGTTCCTATGGCTGGCTCCCTGTCCCTCAGATCTTGGCTTAAATGTCACCTTCTCAGAGGTCTACCTACTGGCTGCCCAATCTTAGTAGTCTACCAATGCTTCTTTCATGTTATCCTGTTTAAATTTTCTTCATTGTATTTACCATTCTTTGATAGTTTGGTTTACTTAACTTTTTGTTTTTTATCTTTCTTCCTCAACTTCAATATATCATGAAAGTAGGGACCTTGTCTTGCCTGGAACACAGTTAGAGCCTAATATGCTGAAATGAATGCATGCACACATGCTCTGTGACAACACTGAAGACAGATTTTCTTCTACTCTTCTCCTGTGCAGGACCTCCTTGGCTCACCAAAGACATAGGGCACTTCTCCAGCTCCTCTTCATTCTTGATCTGCACATCTGCGATGGAGATATACTTGTGCTGACAAAGATAAGAAGACATCAACAAGGGCTGAGGGCCTCATTCACATGTGTACCAATCTCTTACTTAAATTCCCCAAAAGCAAGGAAATGTTCTGCGTATGCGTTTGTCACCCCACATAGACATGAACACTTTCAAGGCAGGAGTCTTAATCACCTCCGCATTATCAGCACCAGTCAAAGTGCTTTGTGCACAGTGTTTCTGTTTATTCTGTTTCTACATTCGCAGAAGAGCAGCAAATACGTAAGTATTTATCTTCAAACAAAGTGGAAGGGGAAGCCAGAAACAGGCCCCTGCCCCTGGACCACTGCCCTAAGAGTTTTGATGCGTGTGCATGTATGCACGGAGTGATGACTCCATGCAAACAATGGATATAGAGCAGGCTCCTATTCAATCCTGGGCCTTTGGAAGTCAGTGGACTTATGGAGAGAGAGAAGTGAAAGGAAAAGAAGCAAGGAATGGGAAGGGAGAGAGAAGAATGGTAAGAGAAAAAAGAAATGAGAGGAAGAAAGAATTTTAAAATCTACCTGAATATGGGAAACTGAGTAAGTAAAGAGAGACCTAAGTTTTCCTAACCGGCCAAAGGACTGCAGGGGGAATACAGAAGGTCTCGAAAGAGTCTAGTATAAAAGCCCCACCCGGGCTGGGTGCGGTGGCTCACGACTGTAATCCCAGCACTTTGGGAGGCTGAGGCGGGCAGATCACAAGGTCAGGAGATCGAGACCATCCTGGCTAACACAGTGAAACCCTGTCTCTACTAAATATACAAAAAATTAGCCGGGCGAGGTGGCGGGCGCCTGTAGTCCCAGCTACTCGGGAGGCTGAGGCAGGAGAATGGCGTGAACCCGGGAGGCGGAGCTTGCAGTGAGCCGAGATCGTGCCACTGCACTCCAGCCTGGGGGACAGAGCAAGACTCTGTCTCAAAAAAAAAAGCCCCACCCAGTATCCAGGAGCCTGGTAATCTGACCTGCTTTGATGGCTCCCTATCCCTGAAGACTGAGAGCCCACCCTGGTCACCTGTTTTAGGGTCTTCACACTCTCATGGATGGGCCTGGGTAATCCAACCAATGTATCTGTGTCCCTGTAAAAGGCCAGACATACCAGATCATAAGCTTCCAAAGAACAGAGAACTACTGATACCCCAATATCCCCCTAGAGTCACACGGACCATGCTACTTTCAACAACATCTACCCCCAGTACCCTAGACCTTCCTCTGCAAGCTTGTAGATCCCACATCAGTGCTTCAGGACACAAAAATAATAATAGCACACAGAAATATTCCTGGAAATCAGGAGACTTTTATAGTCTTTTGGGTACTCACTTGGTGTGGGAGTGGTAGATTCCTACTTAAAAGGGGTATAGCCCAATGACATCTTGACTGTGAAACTCCACTAATAAAGACTCAATTTTCAAGAGGTCAGTGGGAAAGATTCATGAAGATGGGGAAATGGGGGAAGATTGGATCCGTTCTAACCATGTCTCTTCTTCACAGAATTTTAGCCCATTAGAGCAGGAAGGGCCCATAGAAACCATCTAACTCAATAACCTCAGGAAAAAATAAAGGCCCAAAAGAGAAAGGACTTGTTGCTCAAAGTCCTACAGTTGGCAAAAAACACAAAAGTTCTTTGAGGAAAAGTGGAAGAAACTCAAGGAAAAAAAAAAAATCCATAGAAAGAACCCAAAGTAGTCACTGGGAGTTGTCCGTGGCCTAGGGGCTCTAGGTTACATTATGACTACCACGCACCATCCCTCATTCCAAGCTACCTGCTCCTCTGGCCCCCTAGGAACCACTCTATAGCCAGTTCCAACCAGTCACTTACTGCCCCAGGGTGAATCCGATGAACTTGTTCCTGCTCATCTCCAAGAAGTGCTCAATGTCCTTCTGTCTGAGAAGATGGTGGAAAGACCAATCCCAGAGAAGGGAAGAAAAGCAAACTTTGAGAGAGAGAAACTTTCCAGGCTCCTACCCCTCCAATCAGAGGACTGGAGCGGTGGAAAAAGGCAGCAATCAACAGAAGGAATTTCAAACCCAGGAGTTCTGACTGCCAGACCAACTTAACGAGCCTTGAATACATAGACTACTCCATCTTGGGCCTTTAGAGACTGAAACCCCAAAGCACAGGGGTCCCTGATGCTATTAAACCTACCTGACCTTTGGGGCCCAGGGCAGGCCCTTGGGAAAAGTCACCCGCTCAGCAGAGAGGGGTGCCTCTGAGGGTGGAGGTGGCACCAGAGGGTCCTGCTCTAGCAGGTCTAGCTCTCCATCCAAGGTTCGTTCTCCATCACCAGCAGACTCCTCTTCCTCCTCTGTGGCTGGCTCCTCAGTCTTGAAGAGATCCCTTTCATTGTAGATGTCCAGGCTGTCCTGCTTAGTGAGGAGTTGCTGGAGGGGAAAGAAAAGAGGGTAGGCGTGCAGAGAGCTCACTCTGGGCATCCTTGTCTGAGGCCACCCCATCTCCACAGACCTCCAGATTTCAGGGAACATGGAATCTGAACACAGCCCTTGTGAAAACATCCAATTCCCCATCTCAACCCTACTGTCCCCACCCGAACCAATAACAGAACAAGAAGTTCTCAGGCAACCCTGCCATTAGCCAGGGAACAGAGCATAGATAATCCCAAAGTCACAGTTACTTAGCTTTCAGAAAGCAGTGATGCCTTTTTTTGCCAGCACTTTCCTTCCTAATTATGCTCTGCTTAGGTGAACATTCAATTAGTTTGCCTTCTGTGAGCATACACCAGCTGGCTGACTGAGGAAGAGGAGGACAGAAGCTTGCTGCTAGGCAGAGGGAAGCAAGTTTGGAATTTTAAATCTTGTGACAGAGAAAAAAAGATTGGACAGAAATAGGCCAAAAAGTTAACAGTGACTGTCTCTGGTTGTTAAGATTGTGGGTGATTTTTCTTTTCTCCCGTCATCACATTTTTATATTTGTTCCAAATTTTCTACAATGAGTAAGCATTACTTTATAAAACAAAAATAAAGGTTAAAAAATTTTATTGCAGATAATGGAGATTGGATTACTGAGCACTACTGTCTAGCCTGTTGATGAACTCAAGTAGGTCAGACAGGGGAGTTTGTAAGAACATAGTCAGGTCTCAGTATAACCTGTCATTCTGACCTTTTTAGGACAGCAGACTATAGTCATGTGCTGCACAACGATGCTTCAGTCAACAATGGACTGCATACATAATTGTGGACCCATAAGATTATAATACTGTATTTTTACTGTGCCTTTTCTAGGCTGAGATACACAAACACCATTGGGTTACAATTGCATATGGTATTCGGTATGGTAACCTGCTGTACAGGTTTGTAGTCTAGGAACAATAGGGTATATGCCTAGGTGTGCAGTAGGCTATGCCATCTGGGTTTGTGTAAGTACACTCTATGATGTTTGCTCAGTGACAAAATTGCATAATGACACATATTTCAGATTGTATCCCTGTCGTTAAGTATCACACGGTTATATACATAGACCCCTACCCAGTCATCTCTTAAATGTAAGCCTTTGGTTCCGGGGCCAGTTAAGAGTATGGCTGGCTGACAGTAAACCTTCCTGCTGCTTCAAAATAGTAAAATGCCTTACCCCAGAAAAATGGATTAGGTTGGAGACCTGTTCCAGTACCCTGGCTCCCTATTCTCAGGATTATACCCTTAATTGTTGTTCAGAATGTAAGGAACTCCAGGCACTGAAGTTCAGGCCAATGATTCTGTAGCAAGACATGGCTATATGATGTGATATCACAGTGTCACATCACAACAGCCCAGAGGGCTGTCAGGGCTGGGGGATAGAGTCAAACTGGAGACTCTTAAGATTTCAGGTTGGTCACAGGGCCAACCCAGGCAGGATGAGCCAGGTCATTTACTGCTTTTTCCTACTACATCCAGAGTAGCTTAGAATCTTGACTTTTGGCCAGTGAGTGCCACAATACCATTGTCTGCTTCAGTCCATACCCTTCGAGAGCCACGGCGGCCTCGCAGCTTGGATGGTGGGGGTGCCAGCTGAGACTCTCCCAGGTCAAGAGTGTAAGAGGGCGGGGAGGCAGCACGCATGCTCTTCACCACCTGGATACTGTCTTCAGCCAGTGGAGGCAGGCCCAATTCTGCCCGCTTCTGTACTTTGAGAGTCTGCAGATGCTCAAATCCACCGAGGGTAAACTAAGGAAGAAACAGGAAAGGGGCAGAGAGAGAGGAAGGAAGGGAAGTAAGAGAGAGTCAAGGTCAGGGAAACATGGATGAAAAGAAAGAGCCACAACCTCCCGTCCCTTTAGAGCTTTTCCTTAATAAGGAGGTAGTAAAACAGAAAGAGGCAAATATGATTACCATCCCTACGGCAACTGAGGAGCTCAGGGGTCAGGATAAAGCATTATTTACTGCCCCAGTATGGGAAATATCACAGAAGTTAGGAAAGGAATTCCTGGGGGCCTCCTCAAAAAAAAAAAGAAAGAAAAAAAAATAGAAAGCTATCTCCCTTTTTAATGAACACATCCAGGTGCTATAAATCCCCAGAGTCACTCAATTTCCTCTGCAGTCAAGAGGCAGTTCCCCCTATTAGGCCTGCCTTGTGAGATGGGAGCCAAAAATGAAGGATCAAGTTGAATAACTAGTAACAAAAACGTAACCACATATTTATAAGAACTTCATTATTTTTTAAAAAGCAAATCCTGGCCAGGCACAGTGGCTCATGCCTGTAATCCCAACATTTTGGGAAGCCAAGGTGAAAGGATTGCTTGAGACCAGGAGTTCAAGACCAGCCCGGGCAACACAGGGAGGCCTGTCTGTAAAAAAATTATTTTTATTTAAAAAAAAAAATACATATCCTCTGTTTATCTGGAGGGAGGGCAGGCACTCATCCCAACCTTTTATAGCTAGAGAAACTGAGGTACAGAGAGTTGCCCAAAGTTTCTCAGTATCAGCAAAGCCCAGATCTACCAACTTTCAACCAGTGTTCTTTCCATCAAACATTGGCTTTAATAAGAGAAGGTACCACTGACATCCCCAATTTATGGAGTGGCATATCCCATCCATCCAACAGAAACATGAAACCTATTCTAACATAGAACATCTGATGTCTCTAGGACAGCCTTGTTGCCCCTCCAAATTAGCAGTTGGCTAAGGGCTGCCCTATTCTGCTCCCTGGCTCCAGGCTCCTGGAATGCAACTAGAACAAAGTGAGGTGGCATAGGGTATTGCTGATCTGATAATGTGGGATTGGGGAGAATCACTCACCATGACCACCTTCCAGAGCAGAAGCAGGACCTTCTTTATGGGGAAATGAGGAGCCAGGCCACTGCAGAACTTGGTAACCATGGAGAAGAGTAAAAGGGCAAAAGGCTCCTCATTATGCATGGAGAAGCCTGGGGGTGAAGAGAGAGGGGAATGAGAAAGTGAGGATGAGGCAGCTAAAACCTTGTTCATGTAACCCTGATTCTGGACACACAGAGGAAGACACTCACCTCCCCTGAAGAATTCCAGAGTACTTGGTCCTGAGAAGGAGGCTTAGCCCCCAAGAAGGAAGCCCCTCAAGGGCAGGAAGGTAGGCAATGGAATTAAAACGGCTTAGGCCCCAGAGCTTAGGGTGACGCTCTGGGGTTGGATGTCAAACTAGAAGTAACAATAATGAAGACATTGCTTTCTGGCTAAAAGACTCAATGTTATTCACTTTCCCACATCAATAAATATATTTTTAAAATCCCATAGGCCTTCATATCCTATCCCTGTCAGATGACAACACCAACTTACATTTGAGCAGAACTCAGTTTTCAAGGTGACTCAACTCATTTTTTCATGTGGGATTCGTGATGGAGTGGGAGAGGAACGGCTATTCCCACTTATAACCAAGGAAACCAAGGCATAGAGAAGTTACATGGCTGGTCTTAGCTCATAGATACAGGGGGGCAATCAAGCCCAGCCCTTGTGCCTGCCATGCAGTATCTCTGTCCTAAAAGAAAGGACATTAATTTTTAAAAAGAAAACAAAAGAAAAAAAGGACTGTGCCTCTCCTAGGTAGATGCTCTGCTTCCCTTCTCCCATTAGCACCCCATCCACACCTTCCTCAAGTGCCACTTCTTACTTAATTCAGTGCGGAAGGTCTCCCGGGCTGTCCTCCACCCACAGGGGTCCGTCTCTTGCTCCAGGCGAATATTTTCCACCATTAGGTACATAACACTTAGCAGCACCCTGGGGTTACAGAAGAGTCACAAGAGGTTCCCAAGGCAATTCCCAGCCCACAGTCAGAGACCTCAGGGATGGTCTCTGTGGGAGCCCAACCCAGTGAGATTAGCTAGAGGGCAACTTCCTAATGGTCTGAGTCATCTGGGATTTGGGGAAAAGGTAACCCATGTGCTAATCATCCACCCTGTTCCAAGCCCATAGTTAGCCCCACTCACCTGAGCTCTGTGCTATCAGCTATGGAGACAGCTGGTTTCCGAAGGGCACTGCTACAGGCCTGGCTGTTGCTGCCAGGGGGAGGAGAAAAAGAACAGGAATGCATAAGACCTCTTTTCTCTCTGTGCTCTTACTTATCACTCACACAAACATGACTGCTTGCCATTCCCTGGCTAGGCAGCCACTAATGAAACTGGTCTAGGGTAAAAGAGCCGACAGAATTCCCTTGCCACCTCAGCAAACTCTCTTATCGTAATATGGTGAAGACAAGGCAAGGGCAGGATCTGTGGTATCCACTCATCTTGCATTCCCCACTATGCTTAGTATTGTGCTGGACATAAAACAGATGCTAAGAAACACCTGATGAATAATAAGCAGATTGCACCCTATCTCAAACTCCTGGGTGATGGGCATGAGACAAAACAAGGGGTCACTGTAGTGGTAGCAGCAAATAAGGCAACCTCTAGAACTATAGCCCATGAGGGAAAGAATTGGGGACAGTGACAGGAATTGATTTCCTGTCTTTCTTGGGTCATGCACTCAGAACAGTTTCCCTCTTGAATTACAGAGTTAGGCTGAGCTAAGAGAGTCCTTGAACAAAAAAGAGAACCCACTCAGGATAGGCCCCTGAAGCCCAGGATTAAAGCTGTAAGTGAGGCAGAAGCTGCAGATGTATCCAACCTCAGGGAGGGAGAACAGAATATCAGAGAACATGGCTGGATGGAGGGAAACTGTCAATGAGCTTTGGGCTGAGGTGTGAGTAGACCCAGTTCCTCACAGGGGCTCTCTATAGTAAGGGAAGCAGCATAGAATATGAGGCCCCTTTAAGGAATGGGGGTTGTGTAGGCCAGCCCTTCCCCTAAGGTTTCTCACTCAATTTCCATGTGGAGTAGCTCCAGGAAGGTGGAGAAGGTCCCCATCTGATACAGCAGGAAGCAGTTGTACCTGGACCAGTGTAGCACATCAACCTCTGAATCACATTCCCCAAAAGTACCTAAAGGAGCAGATAGTTGTTACAGGGGTTGAGAGATGGCAGTATCCCAGTTCTTTCTACCCTGCCCCATGATCTTAAGATTTTCCTATAATACTCTGCCCAATAATTAGGCTGACATAGGTATGACAGGGACCCCAAGAACTTCCTGGAATGAGTCAGGGAGAAGAGAGGTAGTCTCTAGGGTTAGGTCCAATGTGCTCATCAATGGCCTGTCATCTTAAGGGTGGGTTCTTCCAGAAGCAGATCCTGAGGTAAGTAAGGATTCCAGTGCAATTAGCTTATTTGGGAATCATTCCCAGGAATCATCAGTAGAGATAGGGAAGAAAAGGAAGCCAAAAGAGTTCACGCAGGGGATAACTTTGGAAACAGTATAAAACACACAACTCACAGTTATTCTATCCAAGAGGGGTGAGACAGTCAGGCTATCCATCTACTAACTCCTGTCAGTCACTGGATGAGGGTGCTAAACTAAAGGAGCACACTGATTCCCTACACTTCCTGGATGCCCTGTATGGGCTGCAGAGAAGGCCCTTGGGCAGAAGCTGGGCATGGTGGCACACGCCTGTAATCCTAGCTACTTGAGAGGCTGGAGCAGAAGGATAGCTCAAGCCTATGAGTTCAAGACCAGCCGGGGAAACATAGTGAGACTTTGTTTTTAAAAAAATTAAATAAATAAAGTCCTTGGGCAAACACATGAAGGTACTGGGAGTTGGAAGTTGGCCAGAGCACCAGATCCTAGAGATACAGGAGGGCACAGTCCTATTTGCTAGTCTTCTCTTCACCTAATGTCCACCCTTTCCCTTCTTTATTTATTATTTCTTTTTAGAATTTTTTTTTTTAGCTCCCAACTGGTTGGTTCTGTTAACAAGCCTCATATTTATGATCGTAGGCTTATTTTCACTCTAGCTAGGCTATCTCATTTCCCTTTCCAACACCTGGCTAACAGGTTTCTTCTGACCAGCTTTCCCCAGTTACTCTATTTAGGTCTGATCATCTCCAAATTACTCACAGCATCCACTCCTGCAGCTATGTTGGCTTGAACTTTCAAAATGCCAATGAGAAACAATGCAAGGGGTCCATGTGTATCTGTGACACTCTCCTATTTCTCCTCAGTTTTGGGGCCAGGCCAGAGTTGATGTCTTGTCTCCATGATCAACTGGTGGTACATCATCAGCTCTGGCCACACTGACCCTCTTGCTAGTATTCACATATGATTACAGTACAGGGTAGGGAAAAGAAGAACCCTATAAAAAATTCTGACATGCCTGGTAAGATAATGGCAGATCCCAAGGGATCTAGAACAGCACTCAACACTATCTCATCTTCCTCATAAGCACAGGTTACTCCTAGCACGTGACAAGATCTGTCCTTGAGAGGCAAGAAACCTTGCTTTCCTAGCACAGCCTGCATCATCTCAGTCCTGATAATGCCCACTTCCCTCTCAAGCCTCCACCCCTCTAAAGCTAGCAAGGGTAGTCACTCACCTTGGGCCAGGTAGAGAACAGCCCGGGCCACCTTCAGCCGCCGTTCCCTACTGACCACCTCTAGCCGGTCCAAGAGTCCCATTATATAGGCCTTTTGGGCATCTTCTTCCAACTCCAGCCATTCCTTGCCCTGCACTGGGAATAAAAGGCCATATACATCTAGTGTCAGCTATTGCCACCTTTCCTGGAAAGGCTTCTCATAGCATAGCCACCTCTGATCTCAGCTCCCCCCAAAAAATTATTTTCTCCAAAAGCTTTCCTTATTTCACTGAGAAAGAATAAGGGATGGGAAAAGGACCCAAAATGTTCTGGCCTGAACCCAGTCTATAGCCTCATCTTCAACATCCCCTCTATCCTCCACACACAGCCCATACTGTCCTGTCTCTCTGCCTTTCCTCAAGGAGTTCCCTTTGTCTCCCTACATATTCAATTCCTAGTCATCCTTACAGGCCCAATACAAAATGACCTCTTTCCCACTCTTACATGCCCAATATAAAATGACCTTTCTCACTAATGCTCTGGCCAAATACTCTGCTTCCCCAACACTTTTTAAACTTTTCTGATATAGCATTTTCCTCTTGGATGAAGGGTGCTAAACTAGAGGAGCACACTGATTCCCTGCACTTCCTGGCTGCCCTGTATAGGCTGCGTGAGAAGGCCCTTGGGCAGAAGCTGGGCATAGTGGCACATGCCTGTAATCCTAGTTACTTGGGAGGCTGGGGCAGAAGGATTGTTTGAGCCTCAGCTAGTTTTGTGATGTGCACATGATTCCTCTGCTCTCAAACTCTAACTTCTTTGTAAAAGCTGCTTCTCACTCCTGCCTCCAGTATCTGACACAGAATACTCACCACACATTTGTTGAACTGAAAATCAAATTGCCACTGACCAAGTAAGGAAATGGATGAGAATGTCTGAGAATGTCACAGTGTGGGCACATGAAATTACTATTGAGAGTAGGACAAAGTTGAAGATGGGGTGAAACATTAAGGTCAAGGGTTGTATCAGGCAGCACAGGACCAGCTTCTCATGCTTCTACTCCATTGCTCTCCACTTGAGACACAGAGAACCCTGTATCCCATAAGCAAGAAGGAAAGTCTACATGGTTATGGAGGTTGTGATGGTTAATACTGAGTGTTAATGTGATTGGATTGAAGGACACAAAGTATTAATCCTGGGTAGGTCTGTGAGGGTGTTGCCAAGAGATTAACATTTGAGTCAGCTGGCTGGAGAAGGCAGATCTACCCTTAATCTGGTGGGTACCATCTAATCAGCTGCCAGCAAATATAAAGGAGGCAGAAAAATATGAAAAGGAGACATGGGCCTAGCCTCCCAACCTACATCTTTCTCTCGTGCTGGATACTTTCTGCCCTTGAACATCAGACTCCAAGTTCTTCAGTTTTGGGACTCAGACTGGTTCTCTTTTCTCCTCAGCTTGCAGACAGCCTATTATGGGACCTTGTAATTGTGTAAGTTAATACTTGTGATTGTGTAAGTTAATACTTAAACTCCTCTCTCTCTCTCCATATATATATATATATATATCTCCTATTAGTTCTATCCCTCTAAGAGAACCTAATACAGATTTGGGTACCAGGAGTGGTTCTAGAGGAAGAGAATATTAAGAATGGAGTTCTTTCAGTGGTTTTGAGATTTCTGGAGCTGGCTGCTTAATATGATTAGATCCAAAAATGCTAAGGAATCTACTTCTAATAGTATGGAGAACACTGATAGTCCTTGGCAGAAACTATTTAGAGAGTTATGCAAAATAAATGCATTTGACATTCCTGATTCATCGGTCGTGAGAGGCAAGGAGTTAATGACTATACATAATACCTTTGACCATATGTGGAGAACCAAGGAACATAAGGAAGCTGGTTGGTTGTTCCTAAGTTCAGTGGACAAAGTGATGAAAGAAAATGATGAACTCAGGGATTCTGTCTCCCAGCTTCAGAAGCAGATACTGAGCCTCAAATCTGCTAAGATTGCCCTGAGTGAGAGTCTTATCTCCTGTAGAGAAAGAGCTGAAATTGTGGAAAAACAGACACAAACTCTTGTCATGCGAGTGGCTGACCTGCAATGAAAGATGCATTTAAAGATACATTTATAGCCTTGTCAGGTGTCTACTGTTAAAGTGAGGGCACTTATTGGAAAAGAATGGGACCCTGAAACTTGGAATGGGGACATGTGGGAGAACCCTGGTGAAGCTGGGCACACTGAGTTTGTAAACTCTGATGAACCTTTTTTGCCAGGAGGAACAGCTTCCCCATCCCCAGTAGTGGCAATATCTCCTCCCTGACCCATGCTGCCATCAGCCTTTCCACCTTTGTCTGAGGAGATAAACCCTGCGCTGCCTGAAGCAACAGTGATGGCAGTTGCCCTGAAACAGTTGCCAGGCAAGATGATGCTGCTTCTCCTCAGAAGCTACCCCCAACACCTTTGTTTGGTTCTAGACCTATAACTAGATGAAAGTCCTGGCAGGCCCCTAGAGGTGAGGTTGAGAGTGTGACCCATGAGGAGGTGTGCTACACTCGAAAAGAACTATTTGAGTCCTCTAATTTATATAAACAGCAATCTGGAGAACAGGCATGGGAATTAAGGGTATGGGATAATGGAGGAAGGAACACAGAGTTGGATCAGGCTGAATTTATTGATTTAGGCCCACTAAGTAGGGACTCTGCATTTAATGTTGCAGCTTGGGGAGTTAAAAAAGGTTCTAATAGTTTATTTGTTCAGCTGAATTATGGATTAAAAGATGGCCCACTGTGAGTGAGCTGGAAATGCCTGATCTCCCTTGGTTTAATATACAGGAAGGGATCCAAAGGCTTAGGGAGATTGGGATAGTGGAGTAGATTAGTCACTTTAGACCTACTCATCCCAGCGGGGAGGGTCCAGAAGATACACCCTTGACCAATGCCTTACAAAACAGATTTGTGAAGGCAGCTACTTCATCTTTGAAGAGTCCTGTAATTGCTTTTCTCCTTATGTCAGATGTAATGGTGGGAACCACAGTCACTCAACTGCAAAATTTAAATACAATGGGAATAACTGGATCCCGAGGTGGCAGGGGCCAAGTGGAAGCACTCGACCATCAAAGGCAAGGTAGGTGTAGCTACCGTAATGGATAGCAGAGGCAAAGAAGCAATCAGAACAGTCTGACTCATGTAAAGCTGTGGCATTGGCTAATTCATCACGGTGTTCCTAGAAGTGAAACTGATAGGAAGCCTACTGCATTCCTACTTAATTTATACAAGCAGAAAACTCCTAGGTTGAATGGACAAAAGACTAATTTGAATTATAAAAACAGAGAATCATGGCCCCTTAATCAATTTCCAGACTTGAGCCAGTTAATAGACCCAGAACCCCTTGAATGAAGGGGAGGCCAGGTTCCCTTAAGGAAGGACCCCACTACATCACCGACAGTTTATGCAGTGAATTTTTCTCCGATTCTTCCTCAAGAAGACCTCTGGCCTTTTACCAGGGTAACTGTGCATTGGGGAAAGGGAAATGATCAGACATTTTGGGGACTACTGGACGCTGGCTCTGAGCTGACCTTGATTCCAGGGGAACCAAAATGTCATTGTGGTCCTCCAGTTAAAGCAGGGGCTTATGGAGGTCAGGTAACTAATGGAGTTTTAGCTCAGCCCTGACTTACAGTGGGCCCCCAGACTCATCCTGTGGTCACTTCCCCAGTGCCAGAGTGCATAATTGGCATAGACATACTTAGTAGCTGGCAGAACCCCCACATTGGCTCCCTGACCGGTAGGTTGAATGTTACTATGGTGGGAAAGGACAAATGGAAGCCATTAGAGCTGCCTCTACCTAGAAAAATAGTAAATCAAAAACAATATCATATCCCTGGAGGGACTGTGGAGATCAATGCCACCATCAAGGACTTGAAAGACAAAGGAGTGGTGATTCCCACCACATCCCTGTTCAACTCTCGCATTTGGCCTGTGCAGAAGACAGATGAATCTTGGAAAATGATAGTGGATTATTATAAGCTTAACCAAGTGGTGACTCCAATTGCAGCTGCTGTATCAGATGTGGTTTCATTACTTGAGCAAATTAACACATCTCCTGGTACCTGGCACGTGGTCATTGACTTGGCAAGTACCTTTTTCTCCATTCCTGTCCATAAGGCCCACCAGAAGCAATTTGCCTCCAGCTGGCAAGGACAGCAATATACCTTTACTGTCCTACCCCAGAGGTATATCAACTCTCCGGCTTTGAGTCATAATCTTATTCGGAGAGACCTTGATCGCTTTTTGCTTCCACAAGATATCACATTGGTCCATTACATTGATGACATTATGCTGACCGGATCCAGTGAGCAAGAAGTAGCAAACACATTGGACTTATTGGTGAGACATTTGTGTGCCAGAGGATGGGAAATAAACCTGATTAAAATTCAAGGACCTTCTACCTCAGTAAAATTCCTAAGGATCCAGTGCTGTGGGGTGTGTTGAGAAATTCCTTCTTAGGTGAAGGATAAGTTGCTTCATTTGGCCCCTCCTACAACCAAGAAAGAAGCACAATGCCTAGTGGGCCTATTTGGATTTTAGAGGAAACACATTCCTCATTTGGGTGTGTTATTCCTGCCCATTTATCTGGACCCCCTCCCCCCCAGTTCTTAGTGGGGTCCAGAACAGAAGGCTCTGCAACAGGCCCAGCCTGTTGTGCAAGCTGCTCTGCCACTTGGGCCATATGACCCAGCAAATCCAATGATGCTTGAGGTGTCAGTGGCAGATGGGGATGCTGTTTGGAGCCTTTGGCAGGCTCCCATAGGTGAATCACAGCGGAGGCCTCTAGGATTTTGGAGCAAGCCCCTGCCATCTTCTGCAGATAACTACTTTACTTTTAAGAGACAGTTCTTGGCCTGTTACTGGTCTTTGGTGGAGACTGAACGTTTGACTATAGGTCATCAAGTCATCATGCGACCTCAACTGCCTATCATGAACTGAGTGCTTTCTGACCCATCAAGCCATAAAGTGGGTCGTGCACAGCAGCATTCCATCATCAAATGGAAGTAGTATATACGTGATCGGGCTCAAGCAGGTCCTGAAGGCACAAGTAAGTTACATGAGGAAGTGGCTCAAATGCCCATGGTCTCCAGTCCTGCCACCCCCAGCCTGCATGGGGAGGCTCCCTATAAGCTCCCTATAACTCCCTATAAGTTGACAGAGGAAGAGAAGACTAGGGCCTGGTTTACAGATGGTTCTGCATGATATGCAGGCACCACCTGAAAGTGGATGGCTGTAGCACTACAGGCCCTTTCTAAGACATCCCTGAAGGACAGTGGTGAAAGGAAATCTTCCCAGTGGGCAGAACTTTGAGCAGTGCACCTGGTTGTATACTTTGCATGGAAGGAGAAATGGCAAGATGTGCGATTATATAATGATTCATGGGCTATAGCCAATGATTTGGCTGCATGGTCAGGGACTTGGAAGAAGCATGATTGGAAAATTGGTGACAGAAGATTGGGGAAAGAAGTGTGTGGATGGACCTCTCTGAGTGGTCAAAACTGAACATATTTGTATTCCATGTGAGTGCTCACCAGTGGGTGACCTCAGCAGAGGAGGAGTTTAATAATCAAATAGGTAAGATGACCCGTTCTGTGGACACCAATCAGCCTCTTTCCCCAGCACCTCTGTCATCGTCCAATGGGCCCATGAATAAAGTGGCCATTGTGGCAGGGATGGAGGTTACGCATGGGCTCAGTAACATGGACTTCCACTCACCAAGGCTGACCTGGCTATGGCCACTGCTGAGTGCCCAATTTGCTAGCAGCAGAGACCAACACTGAGCCCTAGATAAGGCACCATTCCTCAGGGTGATCAGCCAGCTACCTGGTGGCAGGTTGATTGTATTGGACCTCTTCCATCATGGAAAGGGTAGAGGTTTGTCCTCACTAGAACAGACACTTACTCCAGATATGGGTTTGCCTATCCTGCAAGCAATGCTTCTGCCAAGACTACCATCCATGGACTCACGGAATGCCTCATCCACCGTAATGGTATTCCACAAAGCATTCCCTCTGACCAAGGCACTCACTTAATGGCTAAAGAAGTATGGCAGTGGGCTCATGCTCATGGAATTCACTGGTCTTACCACATTCCCCATCATCCTGAAGCAGCTGGATTGATAGAACAGTGGAATGGCCTTTTGAAATCACAATTATAATGCCAACTAGGTGACAATACTTTGCAGGGCTGGGGCAAAGTTCTCCAGAAGGCCGTGTATGCTCTCAATCAGCATCCAGTATATGGTACTGTTTTTCCCATAGTCAGGATTCACTGGTCCAGGAATCAAGGGGTGGAAGTGGCACCACTCACCATCACCCCTAGTGATCTGCTAGCAAAATTTTTACTTCCTGTTTCCGTGACATTACGTTATGCTGGCCTAGAGGTTTTAGCTCCAGAGGGAGGAACACTGCCACCAGGAGACACAACAATGATTCCATTAAACTGGAAGTTAAGATTGCCACCTGGACACTTTGGGGTCCTTCTACCTTTAAGTCAACAGGCTAAGAAGGGAGTTACAGTGTTGGCTCAGGTGATTGACCCAGACTATCAAGATGAAATCAGTCTACTACTCCACAATGGAGGTAAGGAAGAGTATGCATGGAATACAGGAGATCCATTAGGGTGTCTCTTAGTATTACTATGCCCTGTGATTAAGGTTGATGGGAAACCACAACACCCCAATCCAGGCAGGACTACAAATGACCCAGACCCCTCAGGAATGAAGGTTTGGGTTACTCCACCAGGAAAAAACCACGACCTGCCAAGTTGCTTGCTGAAGGCAAAGGGAATACAGAATGGGTAGTAGAAGAAGGTAGTCATCAAAACCAGCTACAACCAAGTGACTAGCTGCAGAAATGAGAACTGTAATTGTCATGAGTATCTCCTCCTTCTTTTGTTAAAAACATGTCTGTGCATGTATACACTTGTACTAATATCTTCATTTTATTTCCTTTCTCCTTTATCATGTGACATAAGATTTATTGACTTCATATCAGCATTTAAGTATTGTTAACTTTATATAATAGTATTTGGGTTGGGTACTGGTGAGTTTCCAGTTGTATGAAGGATAGTTGTACTATGTTAGGCATAATTATGCCCTTATTTTTGTCTTTATTTGAAGATTATGTATGATCTCAGGAGATGTGTATGAGTTCCAGTTGACAAGGGGTGGACCTGTGATGGTTAATACTGCGTGTCAACTTGATTGGATTGAAGGATACAAAGTATTGATCCTGGGTATGTCTGTGAGGATGTTGCCAAAAGAGATTAACATTTGAGTCAGCTGGCTGGGGAAGGCAGATCCACCCTGAATCTGGTGGGCATAATCTAATCAGCTGCCAGCAAATATAAAACAAGCAGAAAAACATGAAAAGCAGAGATGGGCCTAGACTTCCAGCCTACGTCTTTCTCCTGTGCTGGATACCTCCTGCCCTCGAACATCGGACTCCAAGTTCTTCAGTTTTGGGACTCAGACTGGCTCTCCTTGTTCCTCAGCTTGCAGACAGTCTATTGTAGGACCTTGTGATTGTGTAAGTTAATATTTAATAAACTTCTCTTTATATATCTATCTATTTATCCTATTAGCTCTATCCCTCTAAGAGAACCCTAACTAATACAGAGGGGATGAGGGATCCCACTTTGTTTTAGCCTTTTACTAGATCAGGCTGGGATATCATAGAAGGAAAAAGCAGGTCTCTATGAGTAAAGATCTGGAATTACCTTGAGTCTTGAAATCTTCTTCAAAGCACCTCCTGTTATTGGTGAATTCCAGGTTCTCAGTGTAACTATACAATTCTGTGGCAGGAAAAACAGAACAGTCACATTTGGGAGATCCTTAAAGAAGCGGCCCAAAGTAGAGAGGGTGGCATGAAAGAGCTAAAGCTTCCAACACATTCCTGTGTCCAATTCAATCCAAAGCCAGCTTCCTCCTTTTCAGAGCAGTTAAAAATAGCCACTTGTGTCCCTGGGAGATTAAACCATCAAACCTGTCCTCTTCCTGCCAGCTGGCTGCTGCAGCAGAGAAGGCAGCCTTCAACATTTGGTGAGGGCCAGGAGGACTGGAGCACAGAGAGCTTAATCTCATCACTCCTGTTTCTCAGGGCTGCAACTCCTGCTTTGTCAACCCCACCAGGAACTATCCTATCTCTAAGGGAAGAGGAGGGCAACACAACTCCTGAAATTTAGAGGAAAGATCCTTGTGCTGGATCAGGAAACCAAGGCAAGGGCTGAAAAGTAAGTGCTAGATGGCGCTTCAGGATTGGAGCCAGTTCATTCTCTCCCTGCTAAGTTTCCTCAAAGGGTATACAAGTTTCCTCAAAGGGTATACAAGTTTAGACTCCTGCCCACAGCCACTAAGCAGAGGCTGCAAAAAAACCTCTAGAGAACAGCTATGATTGTCAAAGGGCTGTTGTGCCCAGGAAAATCTAACTTTGCTAACAGCAGCTTCTCAATACAAAATGCAGAAAGTTTATGAGAAATAGAAATGCCGGCCATGTGTGATGGCTCAGACCTATAGGATTATAATCCCAGCACTTTGGGAGGCTGAGGCAGGAGGACTGCTTGAGGCCAGGAGTTCGAGACTAGCCTGGGCAACATAGCATGACCCCATCTCTACAAAAAATTTAAACATTAGCCAGGTGTAGTGGCACATGACTGTAGTCCTAGCTACTTAGGAGGCTGAGGTGGAGGATCATTTGAGCTTAAGAGTTTGAGGCTTTAGTAAGCTATGATCATGTCACTGCACTCCAGCCTGGGGTAACAGAATGAGACTCTGTCTCTTAAAAAAAAAAGAAAGAAAGAAAAAAAGAAAAACAATAAAAATGCCCTTTCCTACTCTCTTGCTGTCTCTCTGCAGAACATTATATACGTATTTTTATCTTACAGAAGATGAAGAACTGAAATACAGAAGTCAACAGATGATAGAACAGATTTCCTTTAAATCTCTGCTACCTGAGACCCTTCCTGGAAATTTAACTAGGTCACAGGTAATTCACAAGGCAAGAGAAGTTCACGTATGCTCCAGCCAGCTGTGTAATGGTTGAGAAACACCTTGTCTGGGAGTCATGGCTTTTGAGTCCTAAGTTCCAGAATCCAGGAGTGACCAGAAGCAAATCCCATCACTGAATCTTAAATCCTTCAGTCATTAGTGTAGAAGGTGAATATATATATTTTTAAGAGTAAAGCACCATAAGCCAAATCAGAAAAGTGGGCAAGGCTCTTAGGTACTGAACTGTAGTTCTGGTCTTTTTATTTTTAAATTTTAGATTATGAATTTTTATATACAGGTAAGTACAGAATAGTACATTTAAGACACCTGTGTATTATCTTCTACCCAGATCAAACAAATGTTAGCATTTGTTATATTTGCTTCAGACTGCTCCCCAGTCTATCTTATTCCCTTCTCCAGAGGCAACCACTATAATGAAATTGGTGTGTATCCTCATATGCCTATTTTTCTACTTTTGCTATATGCATATATGCCTATAAACATATGATACTGTTCTGTTTAAAAACTTTTTTATCCAAGCGGTATCCCATTGTATAAATTCCTTTGTTACTGCTCCTTTCTCCCAATTTTGTCTTTAGCACTTATTATTATTATTATTATTTGAGACGGGGTCTTTCTCTGTCACCCAGGTTAGAGTGCAGTGGCGCGATCTTGGCTCACTGCAACCTCCACCTCCCGGGTTCAAGTCTCCCGAGTAGCTCGGACTACAGGTGCACGCCACAATGCCCGGCTAATTTTTGTATTTTTAGTAGAGACGAGGTTTCACCATATTGGTCAGGCTGGTCTCAAACTCCTGACAGGTGATCCACCTGCTTCGGCCTCCCAAAGTGCTGGGATTACAGATGTGAGCTACCGTGCCCGGTCAAGCATTTATTGATATTGAAACATGTTGAGGCCAGGTGTGGTGGCTCACACCTGTAGTCCCAGCACTTTGGAAGGCCAAGGCAGGAGGATCACTTGAGCCCAGGAGTTCAGGACCAGCCTAGGGGCAACATGGTGAGAGTTTGTTTCTACAAAAGATAAACAAAATTAGCTGGACATGGTGGCACAAAATTAGCTGGGCATGATAGGGCATGCCTATGGTCTTAGCTACTTGAGAGGATAGAATGGGAGGATCACTTGAACCCAAGAGGTCAAGGCTGTAGTGAGCTGAGATTGTGCCACTCCAGCGTAGGCAACATTGCCAGAGCCTGTCTCAAAAACATAAATAAATAAATAAATAAATAAATACATATCTTGATTTAGATCAATTATTTTAATGGCTATTCAATAGCTTACTGCACTAATAAGCTATAGTTTATCCATTTCCCTACTGATGAGCACTGTAGGTTGTTTCCAACTTTTTACACTGATAAATAAGGCTGCAATAAACATCTCTGTATATTTTCTTGTGCCCAAGTGTAATTTTCTTTAGAGTGGATATTTAGGAGTAGACTTGTTGGGTCACAATATGTGTACATCTTCAACTTTGCAAGATATAAGCAAAATGCTTTCCAATTTTATAAAGCAAAATGCTTTTCAATTTTGTATTCTGCTCCCCAATGTCTAGCAGTGCATAAAAGTACTAATTTCTCTGCACCCTCACCAACCCCAGGCTTTTAAGTTTTGCACTCTGATGATTGTGAAATAATTTTTTTTTTTTTTTTTTTTTTTTTTGAGATGGAGTCTTGCTCTGTCGCCTAGGCTGGAGTGCAGTGGCCAGATCTCAGCTCACTGCAAGCTCTGCCTCCTGGGTTCACGCCATTCTCCTGCCTCAGCCTCCCGAGTAGCTGGGACTACAGGCGCTGCCACCTCACCCGGCTAATTTTTTTGTATTTTTAGTAGAGACGGGGTTTCAGCGTGTTAGCCAGGATGGTCTCGATCTCCTGACCTCGGGATCCGCCCATCTCGGCCTCCCAAAGTGCTGGGATTACAGGCTTGAGCCACCGCGCCCGGCCGATTGTGAAATAATATTATTTTAATTTGTTTTTCCTCATTTACTAATAAAGTTCAACATATTTTCATATATTTATTGACCATTTGGCTTTTTCTTCTATAAATTCCCATTTATATTATTTGCCCACTTCTCTGTTGGGTTGCTCATCTCTCTCCTCTCTTTTTTATATATATATATATATATATATTTGTATCATATTCCTATTATGAATTCTAATCCTTTGTTGGTTATTAAACTTAGCTCTCTATTTCTCTGTCACTCATCACAAAATTTATTCCTTGTGCTTATGCACAAGAACTTCTTTAAAACTGTCTCTCTTCTCTGAAAAAGCATGTCTCAAAGTATCACTTCCATGTGACAGAATATTTAACTTTCACACCATCTCACCCAAAGCTCGTGTATTAATAACTGGCATTTGTAGCACATGTAACATGGAGGCCCTTAATGTGAGGAGATCACATTTACCCTAAGCTAAAAATCCAGACAGAGAGAAGCAGGCCAGCACTGAAAGATGAATGCAATCACTTAACTCCAGCTCATAAACATCCAAGCAGAACTCCACTATGATGGTCCAGCCTTGCTCAGCTGGCCAGTTGACTATGGAGTTTTTCCTCAGACTTTGTTGAGATTTTAATAAGCAGCAGATGCGAGAGGAAGAAGGAAAAGATGGAGGTAGAGGAGACAAAGGAAAAGGAGATGGCATGGGATAGAAAAAGGCAGCAGAAAGGAGGAGGCAGGCAAAGATACGGGTGACAGGAAGAGAAAGAGGAGGAATAGGGAGAAGATGGAGAGAAAACTGATTTGAGAGTGCACCAAATCAGTCATTTTCAAAGAGAATAAAGAAGAGTGAGCAGGAAAGAGTGATAGAATGACAAAATGAAGAATACCATAGCCAAGGAGAATCACAGAAGGAAATGTGAAGACAAATAAAGAGATATTTACCACTCTGGGGTGGAGAGAAAAAGGAATGTGGAGAACAGCCTTGGTTCAACAGCCACTTGGTAAGAATAGACAAGCTTCCAGGGAGATCACAGGCCCCTTCCCTCTCCTCCTGGCCGCTCTTCCACTAGCTACTGACCCATCTACCTCATACCTGACAACTCTGCTGCATGCCCATCTGCATCTCCATACTCAAACTCCAGAGTGGGACAGTCCACAGAGCCCTGTAACAGAGAAATCTTGTTGGTAACTGGGATAACTTGGAAAAAGGGGTTGCCAAGGGAAGACTGTACCCTTTTTTACCTTCTTCCCCTCATGGAGGCCAAGGTTAGATCAGGGAGACAGTTAGGAGAGTCCTATTTGGGTCTTTCATCTCAGAGGTACCCTATACCAAGCCAAAACTTGAGGCTCAGTGTGGCGAGGGGCTGAGGATTCCCATGCAAAACCAGAAAGTCTGAATAAAGGGCCAGGATCTCAAAAACATATGAAAGCTACGGTCTGTGTCCACATCTAATCTACATGAACACAGACCAGAGGAGCATCTAGCTGATTTATATAAATTTGAGACAGACAGAAACAAACAGCACTGGATTCTAGCTTTAGTTTTGTCATCAACCCACTGTATGATATAGATCAAGTCTCATGCTGTGGATCATAGTTCCTTATTTTTAAAGAGGTTTTTTAGCTCTAATATTCTGCAACTTTAGGACTGTCAAATAATACAACATCTCCACTCCAAGTTGTAGTAAAGATTAGATTTCCTATGATGATGTATGTATAAAGTTAATCCTATTAAATATATTTTAATATAATCCCATCTTCTAACTTATTTAAACATTTTGGGATATTTCCTTCCTGTATATGTTAATATATATGAATTTTTAAAATTCTCAGTCTCAGCTCTGTCACATACTATTTGATCTTGGACAAGTTAACCTCTCTGAACCTCAGTGTGACATAAAAAATATACTGTTCTTTGCCCCTGGTTCCTGGTACAGAGTTCCTGAAATTCTTAGAAGTTCCTGAGTGATAGGAGTGTCAGTTATTCATAATGAGTCACTGTCAGCTTTACCAGAATTTATGCTCATGAGGTGACTTATGTTAGGAAAGACCAAGCACATGATTAGTGTTTAACTTTCAGCACCATCCCCACATCCAGGGAGGGGAGGGGTACTACAGATTAAGTTCAGTCATATGGCCAATAGTTTAATTATGCCTAGGTAATGAAACACCATATGAAAACCCAGAAACAACTAGGTTCAGGCAGCTTTTGGGTTGGGGAATAAACAGATGTGCTAGGAGACTGCTGCCCAGGGTGTATATGGAAGCTCTGCACCACCCCAAACCCATACTTTGTCCTTTGCATCTCTTCCATTTAGCTGTTCCTGAGTTGTATCCTTTATAATAAAATTATAATTCTAATTACATGCTTTCCTGAATTCTGTGAATTATTCTAGCAAATTATGGAACCTGAAAGGAAGATCATGATAACCGCTTAATTTGTAGTTGGCCAGGCTGAAATGTAGATAGCTTTGCGATCCCACCTATGGTTGGTGTCTAAAGTAGGGCCTTGTAGGACTGAGCCCTTAACTTGCAGGGTCTGTGATAATTCTAGGTAGTTAGTATCTGAATTGAATTGAATTGTTGGACACCTAGTTGGTGTCAGGGAATTGTTGGAAAATTACCTGCTCAGTTTTCCCATCTGTAAAATGAAGATAATAACAGGACTTACTTCATAGGGTTATTTTAAGGACTGAATGAGTTAATACAAAAAGGCACACAGCCTAGCACTTGGTAGCACTATGTGGGTGGTCACTCTATTTATGATTTTAATATTATATTATAAAGGCATTCTTCTCATATTATTATGACTATTAGTTTAAATGATTGTATAAATGGATGTACATTTATTGGTTTACTTAACTAGTTACTGTTGAATATTTAAATTGTTTTTAATTTTCCTTTATTATATGCATGAAACTGTAATAGACTTATGCTTTTTTCTATATTTAGGATATTTCCTAAGCATAGATTTTTATAAAGAAAATTAATGAATCAAATCTTATGAACATTTTTAAAGCTCTTTGTATATAAGTTGTTCCCCCAAAACATTATGTCAATTTATACTGTCAACAAGGCGAATCATGTTTAAATCCACTATAGCAAAGATTTCCAAACTTTTGGATTACAGGGAACAGTAGGGAAAAAGAAAAAGGTGGAGAGTGGCAAATGACGGAGGGTTGTTGCTGTTTTATTCTGATAGGCATGGACTTTAAAAACTTTTTTAAAAAATTCAAAAAAGAACTGTTTAAACCCCCAAAATGAAGGACAGAATCTCAGAAGAACAGCCATTAAAAACTGTTTTTCAAACTTTTTGGAAAAATGATACATTTTACATTATATCCCAGCGCGTGCGGGCACACACACACACACACACACAAAAAAAAAACTGGAACAAAAGTTTAACAAAGTATTTACCTTTACTGCATGTGATGCACTATTTTATATTATTTTATTCCTTTTCTTTCTTTCTTTTCTTTTTTTTTTTTTTTTTTTTAAAGACAGGGTCTTCCTCTCACCCAAGCTGGAGTGCAGTGGCACAATCACAGCTCACTGCGGCCTCAACTTCCTGGGCTTAAGTGATTCTCCCACCTCAGCCTCCTGAGCAGCTGGGACAACAGGTGTGCACCATCATGCCCGGCTAAATTTTTTTTTATTTTTTATTTTTTGTAGAGATCGGGTCTGCCTACATTTCCCAGGCTGGTCTTGAATTCCTGAGCTGAAGCTATCCATCTGCCTCAGTCTCCCAAAGTGCTGGATAAAAGACATGAGCCATCACACTGGCTTTATTTTTTAAAATAAAAATTTTAGCCTCAATTAATAGTTGCCCCCTATAACAGTTTGGAAAACACTGTTTTAAATTGTATACATCCCTAAATTTAATATATTGAACTAAATTTTTAGAAAAACTCACTTCGATGACCTGAATTTTCCTCATTTTACCACAGACCAGTTAAAACTTTGTCAAGGAGTTGGAGATCAATAAACCAGATCTGGCTAAAAGAGGTCTGAGGTGAATCCTTTTGTTAGGTTAAGACATTTCTTATTAAGCAAACAATTATTCTTTAGCTTCCTTTTTAGGTTGAGATGTTCGTTCACACACTAAGCCAGTGGGAGAAGGTAGGTCAACAGTGCTTCCATAAACAGTGATACATGATGAGGCTCTCTTAACTTGTGCCACAGTAATTCTCTTCTAGTGATTTTTTAAAAGCCCTGGAGAGGAAAAAAAAAAAATCCATCTCCTCTAAGGACTGCCTTCCACAGGAAAGCAAAAAGAAGCAGAGAAGAAAAGCAGATCTGGCACCTGGGTACTGTGGTGATAAGGGATGTACTGGCAGGTAAAAGGAAAGCTAATCTTTCCAGCCAGGCTTTCGGCAGGCAATGAGCCCAGATAGAGCAGCAGTTGTTCATTTCCAGGCATAAAGAGTGCAGCTGCAGACAATCAGCAGGTAAACTGCGGTGCAGGTGGAAAGCTTTCGAGTCTCAAAGGACTGTACTCTCAGAGCCTTTGCCTGAAGAAGACTTGACAGGTGGGGAACAGATTGCAACCTTAGAAGGGAGACCCAGGCAGAGACTTTTATTCCCCCCATAGAACATACCATTGTGAAATTATTTTACTTATTTACTCACAATTTGTCTCCCCATGGGGGAAGACCCTATCTTGTTCACTGATATATCCCTAGCACCTAAAATAGTGACTGGCAGAAAGTCCTCGATAAATAATTATTGAATTAATGAATGGCTCACCTCCCCAAAAAAACATTTGAGCGAGAACAATGTCTTTGTGGGGGAAGGAGGTACAGGGTGCCCTAAAAGATCAGACTCATCTTGAGGTAGGGAGGGAGATGATGTGGTGGATATCATCTAGCAAGACAGGAGGGCTGAGCTCTGCCTCTGCAAGGTGGTGACTCTGGGCCAGTCTTTTCATCTCCACTTCTACCTTTTAAAAAATGAGTGGATTCCTCCTACTCTACCTACATCAAAATGGAAAGCATACATGAAATCACTTTGGAAACTGAAATGCTATTTAAATGGTAAGGCAAGGTCTGGAATGCCAAAGACCTGGCTTCTATCTAGTACCAGCTCTGCCACTTGATGATGATGATGATGACGATAGTAATATACTCAGAGTTACTATGTACTGACTAATTACATGCATTGTGCCTGCACTGTGCCAAACATTTTACAGTCAATTATCTCATTTTGACTTTATCACAACCTTCTGAGGTAGGCAGTGTTAATCTCATTTTACAGACGAAGAAACTGGAGCTCAGAGAGGTTTGGTAATGTGCCGAAAATCACACAGGCAGTAAATGGTAGGGCTGGGATTCAAAATCTGGTCCGACTACTCCAAAGCCTGGTGTTCTTGACCACAAAGTATGCCAGATGTCTGATCTTGGGCAAGTCACTCCTCTTTCTTTTAGGTCTGTAAAATTAAAGGGCTATACCAGATGATCTCTGCAGACCCTGCCACATCTGACATTTTGTCATCTATTCTGATTCCGGCTCCGCTCAGATCCAACTGATGGAAACTGCCTCAATGAGGGGATAGGGGAGTGATAATAATTCAATGCTTTCATCTTCCTAGGTAGCGTTTCTTTTTTCAGGAGAGGAGGAAGAGATCGAAATATTCATACTCCTATCTGTATCCTGGGACTGCTCCCTCCAGATAGCCACTCCTGGACTGCAGGGGCCTGATGTCCGCGGAAGGCGCTCCCTAAACGGCCTAAGACTTACGGGGGATGGGGGGGAAGGGGATGGGCAGGGAACGGGCAGAAGTCCCTCGGCCACAGTGGATCTGTCCAGGGGCCCGCCGCAGGCAGCCTGGGGTGGGGGAGTGCGGTTGCCCCACTCGCCAATCCTGCTTTCCTGCAGCTGAGCTCCAGCCTTCCATCCCTCAAGCCAGTCACTTCACCTCTCCGCTCCTGTTCCCCCCTCCATAAACTGGGATCGGAATTTCTGCTTCAAGGGGCTGCAGCGATTGAGATAAATATTTGGAAAGTATCTGGTCCGCTCAATACCGCGCTCATCTTCGCGCAGCGGGGGAAAGCCAGAGGGCTAGAAAGCCCCCAACCCGCGGCAGGAGACGTGCGGACAACGGTCGGGGCCAAAAAGCCCAGAGTACAACCGCTAGGACCCCGCAGGCGCCCACTGCGCGGGGCTGACCGAGCGCGCCGAGGGCTCCGCGGCCGAGGCCGAATCACCTCAGCCGCCGCTTCCCGCCCGCGAGCGTCTCCGGGCCCCAGCCGAAGCTCTCCGGGCTCCTCACCTCTGACTCCCGCCGCTGGCTTCGGAACGCTTCGCGGCCCTTGGGCGCCGCCTGCTTCCCTTTGCCGCCGCCGTTGCCATTGCCGTTTGCGGGAGGGCCCCCGGTCCCGGGCACGGCGGGGTCCTCCATGCTGCTGGTCAGCGGCTCCCCTCAGGGTTCAGCTCGCTTTGCCCGGGGCGACCCCACAGCCGCGCGCCGGGAGCCAGGACCCGCCCCCTCCGCCGCTATTGGTTACGGCCGCTGGCCGCAACCCCGCCCCGCGAGGCGATTGGCTGCTCGACCGGCCGGAGCGGGACACGAGGAGGTGGGGGCTCATTGAAGAGATTTTGGGGGTATCTTTTTAGTCCTGCTGCATTACTGGCAGCCAGAGACTCCTAGGTTAGCTACAGGCTCCACGACTTGCGAAAGCTGGGCCTTGAGCTCAGGAGGTTTATCTCTGTGCTCCTCACTCGGTGTCTCTCAGCACTCACCCCCGTCCCTGTAGCGACCTTTTCTGGAGCTCTAGTCTCCGCCTCCTGCTCCACTGCAGCCTCCGTTTCCCTGTTACCACCGACCCGGACCCCCACATCCCGGCTCCTGCACACGTCCCATATCCTGCTTAGTCGCAGAGGAGGGATGGCACCGCCAGGTGGCCAGGGACATCGCCCGAAACGAGGGACTCGCTGTCTCCGGAAGCTGAGAATTCTCAGCGTTTTTCTGAAGAGAACGCATCTCGCCCGGAGCTAGGGCTTGGTTGGGAGACTGGGGGTCTAAGGGTGTGTTGGGGGCGTTTTTCCGTCACTGAAATTGGTGATGCCCTCGAGGGCTGCTCCTGTCATCTGCCCTTCTCTGCTGTAGGGGGCCTCTTCCTCATGGTGTGTAAATGTTGACTGGAGAGCAAGCCCCCACCCTCACCTCACCTGCTCGCCAGTCCTTTCTTTCCTTCCTCTCTCTTTTCTAACATGCTTCCTAAGGGCTCATTGTTACTGGGAGCAAAAGAAGCTGTTTGATCTGCCCTCTCCTGAATTTAAAAAAGCAGCTTGTGGTAAATATTTAGACAGTCTGACTTGGTAATAGAATCCCCAAAGACATAGGCCCAGGGGAACGGGTGGGAGCAAATCGCTCTCCCTAGCCTGGTTGCTTTCGGAAGGGTCTGGGGGATTGTTGAACTGTGCTTGGTGCCAGGCACTGCAGTAGGCGCTTTCCAGATATCACATCATACCTCTCCCCGACAGGGTATTTTTACGAATCCAATGTTACTGATGAGGAAACCGGCACTTGCAGATTCCTCCTTGCAATTCCCAAGGTATCATATTCTATCTCGTCTCGGGGTCTTGCCTATGCTGTTCTCTGGAGGAGGCTGTCTTCTCTTCTCCTGGTTGATTCCTTTTCTCCCTTCCCTTAAAGATTCTAGTTAGTTATCACCTCCTCCTCCTCCACAAAGCTTTCCTTTTGGCCCTCAACTCATTCAGGCTGTGTTGGTGTCAAGCCAGTTCTGCCTAGATCCAAAATCCTAACATTTTCCACAATATACCCAAAGCAAGGGGCCTAGAGGAATTAATCCACCTTCCCATATCTTAGGGACAACTCTGTCCCTTTCTTACCATCTTTCTCTCTCTCACTTTTCCTTTTGCCAGTTCATAGGTGACAGAACAAGGCATGTTTGAGAGCACTCTTTGGAGCTTTTTGGGTTTTCTCACCCTGGTCCTCAATATCTCCTTACTGTACCCACCCATCTTCCCTTTCTTCTTCCAGTCCCTCTCCTCTCCCCATCCACATATAGGCTACTTGCGAGTAAGACCAAATTTAGCTCATTTTTGTATGCCCCTAATTTATGTACGTTTAACACAGGGTTTCACAGTCTCTCTACTATTGACAATTGGGGCTGAACACTTATTGTAGTGGGCTGTCCTGTGCATTGTAGGATGCTTAGCAGAATACCTGGCCTCTCTTCACTAGATGCCAGTAAGTAGTATCCTCCCACTAGTGCGACAATCAAAAATGTCTCCAGATACTGAAAAATGT